CAAAGAACTTGGTGGAAATGGTCCTGGAAATTACTAATGAACTATGGATTTTGTACTGTGACAATGGCTTGATAAGTCAGTCCTAACTAAACGTTCCAGTTCAATTTTACAGGAATCACTCATTTTACTGCAGAGTGGTAGGTGATGCAGATCACCATTTGTTGTTATTTGTTTTCTAAATTAAATTAGAAAACTGAGCAGTTTAATTGCATGTATCAAACTGCTGGTGTTAAGGGTTGTATCGCAGAAAAGGCTGACAGATTTTTTAATTAATGACAGTGAAGCACAACAATAGGATCAACAGAAGTGAATTAACAGACGTTGATTTCTATTTGAAAGAGAAAATTACACTGTAATTTAGGGTACTTCAAAATGGCACTTAAAACAGAGGATTCTTTGGTCTTGACTGTACTGTAGCTATTTCTTTTGAGATAAAGGAAAAAATCTTCTACGTGGCTGATGTCTATTTTAATGAGGCTTACATCATTTCCTTGTTCAAGCTCTCAAGCGCCTGTGTATCTTTTCAGTTCAAAGACAGCTCAGTAATCAAGTGCTGCATAACAGTTTTCCACAAACTAGCTTCGATAATCAGAATTCTTCATTAATCCAGAAGGTTGTTCCTATTCTGGTATACTGCCATCCTGCAAGCCCTCTCTTCAAATTAATGAAATCAAGTGGCATGTCAACGGTTACGTCATGCATCTGCTTGCTGGATTCTACGCATGCTGCTGCCACTATACAACAGCTACCCTCCGAGTAATTTCCAGATTGTACTGCCCATTCTGTTCCATAAAACTGAATAAAGAGGGTCAGGAAATTGAGGTAGTAAAGTAGATACTCTGTTTATCAGACTGGCAAAATTAGCAGAGACTATAAAGATATACTTAAAAGTACATGGACTCTTTATGCAAAGCATTATGTCTGCAGCTTCAAAAATGTATGTACAATACACATAATATTTGCGCAGACACAATCTGCTGTAGATGGGGATTTCTACTGTTGAGAGAAAGTTTGGATTTGTGCTTATTTACCTATATGAATAGTTTCATAAACTGTAATCCTTATAGAACAAATTTTCTTAGTTGCATTTACAGAAGATGCTGGGATGTGGTCTGAAACATACAGAGTGTATAATTTTTTTTATATCAATTGCAGCATGTTAGAAAAGCACACTCCCTTCCTGTGCACAGTGTCACTCTGACTTTGAAAGTCACCAAATGAAACAGAATAGTTTTGCCATCTGGAAATGAGACTTCCCATCAAAATCTACTTTACATTGATTAAGGTATTCACCATTATATTTGAGCACCTGTTACAGTTCTGTCCATGAAGGAAAAAAATCCAAGAATAGCACTTTCACAAGACATTTTAAAGGATTTATCATAGTAAATTAGACCATTAGTCTAGCTAATCTGGTATCCTGCCCCTAGTAATGGCCAGGGCTTCAGAATATAGCTTCTGATTTGTACCTGCTCAGACAGCAAGTTATTTCTCAGCTTCACAGTGATTTGTCACAGGCCTTTTAGAACAATCTTGTCCTGTTATGCTCAGATGCCAAAGTTATTTTGTCTATTCTTTCAGAAGTTAATAGTCTTCAGTTATTTATTCCCTTTCCATGTCAATCCAAAGGAGAAGCTGCTCATTGTTATACAACAAATGAAACGAGAAGCAGTATCTTGTTATCTGATTATATCAAATATGGGTTAATATGCAATTTGAATGATAACTCCCTGCATTAGATCTACTAAAGGCAAGGAAAATGTTTGCTATGGTGTTGATTGAAGATTACAGCAGGTGACTCCTGTAAGGAATGTTTAGTGTTAATTGCAGAATCACGGAACTACCAGCCTCAAGTAGGATAGAAAGTTAGACAGACCTGAGTGACAAAAAGAAATGTGCCAAATATAGCAAAAAGAGAAAAGCCTTCTGCAAAGGCAAGGGAGGGAATTCTGTAAATGTCTCCTTTCTTCAGAATAAAAACCAAACTAGCATAATCATTCAGTTTATTACAATAAAATTTCTATCACATCTTTCATTTTGGAAGAATTCAATGCATTTTGCAACTACCTAAAGATGATATGCAGTGCTATTGGCTGGATAAAGTTTTTGTGGTAGAATTTTTAAATGTCCTGCATTATACAGATGGTAGAGAAAGGGATATATTATACAGGTCATTCTACTGGAAATGCTAAAAAAATGCACCAAGTCCAGTAATATTCAATTTTTTACATGACATGTAATAAAAAAACTGTATTATGAGCTACTCCAGTGGTATGCTACCCTCATAAACAAAGGTGTGAACTGAGTCCTCACCTGGTTTGAGTTTGGGCTTATTTTGGGTTTGGGGTTTTTTTTTTCCTTTGTTAAGTAATTTTATATATATACACACATATATATATTTGGTATGTAAGTAGGAGCACTGCCATTCTATTTAACAGCAGTTAAATATAGACTCGTTCGCTTTTTACTGTTCCTTCCATTATTCTCAAACCACAACCAAAAGCAAGCACACTTCATAATCCAGAATTAGGATGTCCCCAGACAGGTGGTCTTGCTGCCTATGAATAACTTTTAAATAATTAAGCAAGATAAAATGAAACAGCCTGGAGCAAGCTCCAGATAAGCTCCTTAGCTGCATCACAACCTAATGAGAAAAATATACTGAAAGCAGTCTTAGCCTAGTAGTAGTGGCATGAGTGTCTGAGTGTCATCGAGCTTCAGGAAGGCCTATATCGACCTGTGTAATGAATACATATTCCTTGCTGCTTTCCAATCTGCACCTTCATTGGCAAGGATTAAGGAATACTTAGCTCTTGAGAGACTTTTCCTATTACAAACTCTATAATAATCTTAAGCAATATCTTATTACATACAAATTACTACTTAGACAATTAATATGAAACAGTTGGTTCTGAAGAAGACACTGACAGTAGCCAACAACAGACTTGCTTCTTTCCTCTTGCCTTCAACAACTAATGAAGACATGTGCTGGTTTTTGGATAAAATGATCCTGAGATGTCAGAAGGGGCAGCTGAGAAAATGCCTCTGTTTCCTAAAGAACAAAAAAGGAGATGGTTTTGCTTGAGTCCGTATGTTTTATCTTCTCCCAAAGAAAACAGAGTTCAGCCATTCATTACAGGCCATTTAGAGTACCCAAGATACCCAGTACCCTAAACAAAAGTCATGGAGGTATGCCACAATACCTGCAGCCACTCGTTCCTTTAAAAAAAAGGTAGTGTATAATTCTATCTGATTGATTACAGCCTACACTATGGCACCAACAATCTGCCCTTCTTTCTGCTGTAGTTTATTGCCTACCTCTTACAAAGCAATATGACCCTAAAGAGTGGATGTAACCCAACACAAGTAGAAAAGTTTTGCAGGATAACCACACTGTGATGCCAAAGAAGATACTGCATCCGTCACTGGACATGGTGGAGCAAGGGGTTTGAGTCTTTCTGCCTGTAAGGCATAACCAGGGTGGAGGACACCTGTGGGGGCTCTGGTGAGGAGATGAGGAGTGTGCAGGGTTGCATGCACTTGATATCTCTAGTCAGTGAGGGAGCGCAGTTTTCTTGTGTCACATAAATTGTAGTGCACACAGCACCACGTAATGCTAACTGCTGCTTATATTTCACTAAACCATGGGCAAAGACAGGATGCTCAGAGGAAAGGATTTTTCTTTCTGAGACCTTTTGAAACACACAGTTTCTGTTAGTCTCTAAAAGGTCAACCAGGACTTGCACAGTATTTCTAATTTTCCTGTTTCCAGTTCGAACCCCAAAATAATTGCAGTGACTCTATCTTTCAGTGAAATATAGCCAAAGTTCCTGAAGGATAGCCCACATGCCATTTGCAGCCTGCAAAGCCTTGATAACCCATAATGGCATTTTGTGATTGTAGTGTGGCATTTAACTGAGGTGCTGTATTCCAGGTAAAGTCCCTTATACAGTCACTAGCATTATTGCCCATTCGTTCAATTGCATTCTAAGAAGGAACAGACTCCCATGAAAAACTTTCAGGATCATTAAAGTACATACTGTTGAAGGAACATTACATACAGTCGTAGCAATCGGTCAGCTTCTGGTCAGTTCACAAAAGTTAAATGCAAAGTATGCTTTTAAAATATTGGAAATTCTTTTGGATTCCTTTGGTCTTGTGTAAGTTGTATTACCGAGTTTCTCCACTGCATGCCTTGAAGCTCTGTATTAGCATCAGTACTGCTATTGGATAGCTAATGCCCACTTCAAAATTTCCAGTTTAGATCTAAAAAAAAAAAAAGAAAAGAGTTAAGACACCAAAACTGAAATATACTCAGCTTCTATCCTTCACCTTCGCAGTTATACTCTTTGTATAGAGGAACATCACAGCTCCCCTTACAGTTTCTCATGAAGGTAAATAGACACTTGAACAGGATGGATTGTGTTTTTTCAAGATGAAGTGGATGTACAGCTGGCTTTGCTCAGAGCCCTCTAATGAAGAAGATAAACAAAGGATTTACTCCCACTTTTCACTGATGGAAGTTTGAAGTGGAGCCTTATCCCCATTTTTGCACACATCAAATAAGCTAGACAGGTAGTACTGCAGCCAGCTTGGTGGCCAGTAATTTTCATGTGTCAGGTCCCTTTATATAGCCCTGTCAGTTCATGTAAATCATAATTTGTTTTGCTACTTACTGTGCAAAATACATACTTTTAGACACTTGTGTTAGTCTTCTTCAGTCACAACCTAAAATATCCCACTGTTCCTGTTGCAACGCTCTTAGACAGAAAGGTGCCAAACAGTGTGGTGTTCTCTTAATGAGATTGCAGTTCTTGACTTGAATAGAGCAGTGTGGAGTCTTAAGAAGGAAAAGATCTTACATTATCCTAGAGCTGTATCTCTTTCTTAATATACGTGTGTGTGTATATACATCTGTATGTGCGCACACAGACACTTATTTACGCTACAACTCATAATAGTTGCATGCCACTAATCTGCTTGCCTGTTCTTTTCTGTAGCCCAGATGATTTACTGAATGCACTGAATGAGGGTATCAGCCGTGCTGATGTGATCATTACATCAGGAGGTGTATCTATGGGGGAAAAGGTATGCTAAATTTAAGTATGACTTGCTACAATATATGTAAGAATTTCAAGCCAGAGTCTGTCGTCAGAGCTTCTACCTTTGTATTAATATTTATTAAAAAGGGATCTTAATTTTTTTGGAACACTTAAATGCAAATTAATTAAGAAAATAGTCTTCAATGCTATCCTCATTCCCTTTGTTCTTATTACTGTACTATAGTAGACATAGTACAACAGGGAAGATTTTAATTCTTGATGTGAGTGATTTGCAAATGTGTTTTTATTTAAGGAATGATTTATGTAGTTATGATGAGGAAGGTGCTTCGTTAATAGCACACGAAGGCAACAGACTTCTTTTTATTCTCAGAGCAGGTAAAATGTAGATAGAATAAAGCTACTTTGAAAGTACTTCGAAAAGCAACCTGAGTATATAAATAGCTCTTTCTTACTCAGCAGATCTGTTTCCTGAACATGCCAAAGCTATATCTGTTACAAAAATAGTTTTATCACATTTTGCGCCTGATAGTCCTACAGAGGCAATACATACGAGACACAGTGAGCTGATATATTTGCCTTTTGAATCATTAACAGAATTGTTGATTGAGTTCCTGTTGGTAATCCCTGTGCCAAAACCATCAAAGAAAATAGGGATACACAGATGCTGGTGGGGCGTAGATGAACCTGCAGGACATTTATTAATCATGACTTATGCGAAGGAAAACTCAGATTACTTTTTGATCCCAGGCTGAATCTGTGAGTTTGGCAGGTAAAAGAAACATCTCTCCTTTTATAACTAACAGATACTAAAGACAGTCATTAGGAGATGGCAAACATGAGTGCTGTTTTTGTCACTTTTCTGAGTAGAAATCATATTGTTGGATACGTCATGAAAATGGATAACTAGTTAAACCAGTGCCAATTACTTTCAATCCCATTATTGTCCTCAGTATTCCTAGACAAATAACTAAGGACAAGTGCTGGTCTTTAAATTGGGAATGTGGCGACATAGTACCGACACAGGAACGCTAGGAAGTGACTGGACTGCTGAACGGTCTTACAGGCATTTATGCCTTCTGGCTACTTTCTCCCCAGTCTGAATTTGAGGCAACAGCATAAAGTCAATAGGCTCTATATTCCACTGATGGTCAGCCCTCTGCTACTGAGATTTCAACAGTTTCAATGAAATAACTGTGAACATCCAAAAAGTAAATAGAAAGTAAAAACGGGGTTAATACAATCAATAATTGAGAATTCATGCCTGGCTGAAAAAAGTTGCTGCTTTCCAAGTATTTGAACACACACCAAAAAAAAAAAAAGAGAGAGAAAGATGGGAAAACTGCAAGGGAGCTTCAGATTTACTGCTTCCAAAGTCTCTTTTCACAGATGACTGTTACGTCCTGTGTCTTTAATCTCACTAAACACAACAGACAGGATACTGTGCTGCTTTCAGTATTTGAACACACACCAAAAAAAAAAAAGAGAGAGAAAGATGGGAAAACTGCAAGGGAGCTTCAGATTTACTGCTTCCAAAGTCTCTTTTCACAGATGACTGTTACGTCCTGTGTCTTTAATCTCACTAAACACAACAGACAGGATACTGCATCTTTGAGCACAGCAATTTGCAATAAAGACTAAACAAGTAATTGTTTGTTTTAATAACTGGATTGATTGTCTTTATGCAAAATCATTTAACTTGAACTAATGCACAAGCCACCCACAGTTTTTCCTTTCTAAGGACTGTTAAACCCAACCACTGTGAATTAGGCCATGTCCCCAAGAAATTACAATAATTACAGTATCCTGGAAAACTATGATTTCTACAGTACAAGTATTGATTTCAAAAGTACTAGGAGATCTCTAACTCTACTGCTAGATAACTTCCATGGCAAAAGTTAAATAACGTGATGATTTTAAGTATTTTGAACCATAAAGGCTTTTTTCCATCTTTGACATAGAGAATGTTTTAGTAGTAGGTATTTGTGGGGTCCTCTAAGATTCTGATGCTGCAGCTGACTTTTAAGTAAATATATTACTATGTCTTCATGGAGTCAGGTTTGGCACCTAAAATGAGTCTGTTCTTCACCTCTTCTTTTTGAAAATACTTTCTTTCAAATACTGGAAATTCCCCACTGGACTGTAGCACTTTCGGGATATGAAAAGTCTTTCATCTTCACTTGATATTAATTAATTGCTTTGAACGCTTAGATGATGTAAGCCACTTTGATGTTACTTAATCGATTTTCTTTTTTGAATTTAAACAGGACTATCTTAAACAGGTGCTGGATATTGATCTTCACGCACAGATTCACTTTGGCAGAGTTTTTATGAAACCAGGGTAAGAAATCTTTCTACTTAGGCAGCATAGATGGAGGCTATATTGGGCCAAATATCCTATAAAAGTGCCTCAGTAGATTTCAGTTTTCCAAATATACTATAAACCACATGGTAGATATATATGGGAACAGAAGCAAAATCAGTCCTATTCAGATTAGTCATCATCTTTATGGGTGAAATTAACCGGAACAGAGAGATTACTTTTTATCAGTAAGAGATATTTCTCTGATAACTGTTGCAAATCAGGTTTGGGGACTGGGGGGAAACCAGCATGCTATAAACATGGCCACAGTCTTCACTGTGATCACAGAGCTCAGATATTGACATTGTTATGAAATAACCGGGAAATATAAGGACATTTAACTGCTGGTTTGCTTAACGAGCATCTCATTTCACTTCAAAATTTGCATAAGTCATATTCCTACAAACAAGTAATTTCTTGAGAGAGGTGGAGTGACAGCTAATTTACAAAGTTTTATCTAATTGGCATATTGAGCGTAGTAATTTTAAAGTAAACACAATCTTTTATGTGTTTAGTTTGCCTCAGAAAACTGTTTCAGCATTGCTTTCCTTTGCTGTAGCACTGCTAATTAATGAGTCTGGAAGTGTGCTTTGTAGAGAAGATGAAAACTACATGTATTGAAAATAGACAGTTCCCTTTCACAGTACAGTAGCAGAAAGATGTCTACAGCTCTGCCTCACTAACCATGGAGTGCAGTTTGTTTGCAAGCTAGGTTGGCACGGTCCAGTAACACAAGGCCAAGTGCAGCTTTCGGGAACGATTCCCTCTAGCCCGTAAGTGTTGCCAGGGAGCAGAACAGAAAGTGAGTGTTTGCTGTGAAAACAAATACTTTTACTGTCTCTGCATACAATCCAGCAAAGAACTGCATGTGGGTTTGGAGCTTGTGCTGCTACTACCACCACCTCCCTTCCATAAAAGGAACAAGTGAGCTGAAAGCACGTTTCTTCCCATGCTGGATGTAGCCCAGGAGTGGAAATTGCTCGCTGCTTCTGTCATACTGCTACAACTGATGTGGGGAAGTCCCAAAAGCGGGATCTGTACTCCAGCCTCCGCTGCTGACAAGAATGGATAACCTGATTTAGAGAATTCAGAATATTAAATTCTGGTTCTGCCTTATCTGAAAGCGAACGTAATTCTTTCTTCTAGTGATCCCTCTGTAGACTTGTAGCAATAAACTTTTAATAACTAGCCAGAAAAGCTTTAAGAAATGTTCTTTTCCCCAAACATCCATTTTCATTTTATGCCATAAGAAAGATATTTCTTACTGCTACCAAAGCATTTGGTCATGTAATCTTACTGAGAATGTAAGCACTCTCATTTTCATTGGCTGTAGTGCAATAGCAAATACTGTGTCTTAGTTTTTTATAAATTCTGTCTTAAAAGGCCTTAGACATGAATTGTGATTGCTATGTTGGGAAAAATTCCCTTGGGTAAGTTCCAGGAGCGAAGCCAGAATTTGCATTGTATGCCTGTATTTTGATGCTACATGACTGCAGAGTGATGCCTGGGATTTACCATTCCTCCACTTGACCTGAAAGTTGCTGAGCTATTGTAAGGTTGTATCTTGTCTAGCAACATCGCCAGAAGAAAGTACTGGAAGACTTTACCAATGATGGTGTTGAAATCTCATATGAAAATTCAGAGTTTCCAGTAAACGTGAATTAGCAATTAGATTTTTTGCACCTCAGTTTGTACACTGGTTATAAGATTTGGAGGTCTGGCAAATAGTTCCCATTATGTTAGAGACATTTTAAAACAGAAACTTCGAACACCAACTTCCCCTGGTAAAATAGGATATCGATTAGTCCTAGCAGATAGAAAACTAGGTAGTAATGATCAAAATGTGGCAAATCTCCAAAGTTGCTGCTGGTCAGCAACTCTCATCTGCTGACCAGGTGATAGTTGTTAGCTCAAGATGAAGCCAAAGAACTCAGCCTAATTATTTCTCCTATAAAGTATAATTTCTAATGTTTAAAAGGATGATATTAACATAGGTACATAGAAAACTTTTTTTAATGGATGAGTCCCTTTTCTTTGCCAGCCACATTCCTGAGCCATCACACTACTGTCCTATTTGTGTAACTGTAATAGCCCTGATAACAAGTCACTAAAGATCACTCAGGAGCAGCTCTGAAAGGTAGAGAGCGCTCTTTGCTGATAGACCTAGGTCCTACCTGACTGCAGCTCTGCCTGTGTATCTGAATTTGTTCATCTGCAGACTAGCTAGCATTTGCTGCTCTGAAATACTGCTCCGTTGTCACTACTGCTGTAGACAATGGAGTAAGGGAAATGAGAGTTACTAATGTTACAAAAAATTTGGAGAGCCTTATATGAAAAACAAATAGAGCTCTGTAACTGCATAATTTCAGTATTACTTCTTTGTTAATTGGCTTCTAGCATGAAGACAGGATTTAGATTTTTGATTACTACTTCATCTGCTCTTAGATGTTTCCTCACCAGAAGCAAAAGAGTCTACTTAAAACTTCATAGCTGAATACCAAGAAAAACTAATTGTTCTGTCATCACAAAGAGAGGATTATACCCCCAGTATGGAATAAGCAGCAGGTGCTAACGAACTGCGGAGAGAGAGAGATATCCTGTTTTGTTTTCTTTCCCAAATGTTTTAAATAATAATAACATAATAATGTTCAGTCAAAGTCTAGTGCTGATATTAAATAGCTTTCCTTTTCCATAGCCTGCCAACAACTTTTGCAACTCTGGATATTGACGGCGTAAGAAAAATAATCTTTGCGCTCCCAGGTAAGACGTTTTGTGGATTACTTCTGTTGCTGTGCATAGATGACAGACATGAAACAGAATAGTGACCTTTCACAGCACCTATGCCTGGGGTTGGCATCCCTAAGGAAGGTACATGTAAGGTTTTCCCAGAAATTGCCAGAAGAGACGGACTTACAGGGGTATACTAAGGAGTTTGTTCTTGTTCCTGTCCTTAGAATTTGCCAGTGCACAGGCCTTACGATTTCTTCCATCCAACAATTTCGTTGGGTTTTGTAAGTGGTACTATACAGGGGTGTTTTTTTCCTACAGCTCCCTCCACCTTCACAGTAAATATTCTGTGCATGTAAGTCAGTGCATCCACTCTGAAGTATTGAAAATGGAGACAAAAACGAGGGAGTGCCAAGGAACATGTCACATATCTTTTTTTATCATGCTCGTACTGTGGAACCAAAAGAGGGCAGCATCGCTTCACCTCCTGCGTGCTGCGTCGCCTTGGGAAATCGCCACGTTCCGAATAAACATTTCCTTAGGGATCTGGCTACAAAACTCTATCCTCCTAGATCAGGAGGAATTTATTTTATTCTTATTGCTCTGGCTTCGCATGGATTTCTGACTACCCAAGGAATCCTGTTCTTGATAAGCTGGTGGTTTTCAGAGGTATCTCTAGTGCTTTTTCTCTCTCCTGTTTTAGTTGCTGCAGTACATTTTCTTCCAGGGGAGAGATCAATGGAGCATCTGTCTGATCGTAGTATTTATTTTAGAACTGTCATCTAGGGAAGTCCAGATGTGTGAGACAAATGGTGTTTGACAGATGTTGGTCATACACCTCTCTTGTGAGTCAACAGAAAACATATAAATCAGTAGAATTCTCCTCAGATTTGTACTAAAGCATTTTGCCACTCTGTTAGGGAATTGAAAGTTATTTTTCCATGGGTCTTGGAAACCTTAATCATGAATCAAGAGCCCTATCAGCTAGGACCTATACCTGTGCACAGTAAACCCTGCCTCGTCCCCAGACAAATCTAGGCGTAAGACAAAAGGCAATGGAGGAACAGAGGTAAATGGTGGGGCCCGAGGAACACGGGGCAGTTCTGGTCAGAGCGGGATTTCAGCACACCATCAGCCAGAGCGTGTAGCTTTCAACAGGTGTACTTGCCACATGCCACTCCAGTCTTGAATGAAACGTTTCCTGTACATAGAATAAAAAGCTCTTCAGAGTCCTTTAGAGTGCAATTGCTATAAAAAGATGAGATCGCTTTCAGCATTTCACAGAGTAAGTCAAGAGGGAGTCACCACCAACTGTTCCTTGTCCTACAGGCAACCCTGTGTCAGCTGTTGTCACCTGCAACCTCTTTGTTGTTCCCGCACTGAGGAAAATGCAGGGTATCCTGGATCCTCGGCCCACCATCATCAAAGCCAGGGTAAGAATCTTGTCCTCTATTTAAAAATTCTCTCAAGATGTTGAAGCACAGCTCTTTGAGCTTTGAAAGGCTGTCTTGTTTGGGGCATCTGAGCCCTAGACTAATGCTGGCAAGTTGAAGGAAGTTCACACAAAACAGAGGTACATTCTCAATCTCTGTTAATGGTAATATTCAGTCCCATAATTTCTAAGAGTTAGATGGCCATCTAATGGAGCAAGATACACAGATGCAGAGGCAGCCAGTTGCCAGTCAGGCAGGAAGGATGCTTTCCTGTTTAAAAAAAACATTTGTTTTAACCTGTGGTAAAAAATGCAGAGTAATCTGGGAATACCTAAAGGGTTGGATAGTTCTGTTTTAGCAATAGAAAATAAAAACTTGAAAGCCTTTCTGTTCTTGAGTTATTTATATAAGTAACCCAGATGACCCCCACCCTAAGCAATGTAAATCCCTTAAACTAGTCATTTCACTCTTATAAGAAATCAATATTGTACCTGTTTAATATAGATTCAAGGCATGTTATTATAACTTATTATTCTTCTATTTTTGATTCAAATAAAGTACCAAGGACCACATTACCTTTTATAGTTTTCCTAGTGTTCTTGGCTATGCACTTTTCTCTTACTGCTTATCCTGTGTCTCTCTTTCACACTTCCTCAGGCATCCAGATTTTTCTTTCTCTCACAGCTAAAATATTCTAAAACAGAGAGCAATTTGTAGTGACCCTCACTTTTGCATGAATTTTCCAATGTGTTCCATTAAATTCCATTGTGAGCCATCCTCCGTATGTCTTTTCATTTCAAAGATTGGCTATTTCCCTTTTGTCAGAGCGAGCAGGATTTTGAATGTGAATAAAATTTTTATCTTTATGCAGTGTAATCCAGAGACCAGAAATGATAAAGCTTTTTTCCAGAGAGATACTATCTTTAAACTCCCAATAAAGGAACAGCTTTGGAATATTCCACTTAATGCATATAGACTCTATCATACACTTTAATATTATAATAGCACAGTTGTATTTCCCTTAAATACTGCAGCCTCTACCTTCTACAGCTTTTGATCTTGCACTAGACACCATCTGACCTCAAAATGCAAGTTTTTAAAGAGACTGTTTTTAAGGACAAACAATTGAGCCGACGATTCCGTTATCTTAGACAGTGCAATCTGAATGCATGACATTTTCATCCTTTCTTTGCTTCTACAGTTGTCATGTGACGTAAAATTGGACCCCCGCCCAGAATATCATCGGTGCATACTGACTTGGCATCACCAAGAACCACTACCTTGGGCACAGAGTACAGGTTAGTGCCCAGCCACACAGACTGACAGACACACTCACACAGGTCCTTGCCTTCCTACATATACGTCTAAAAACAACCAAGCGTGTGCACGTTTTTCCATATAACCTTCCTTATGGAGACTGATTTGCTGACATACTTGTGCACATGCATACATGTACATGAGTATAAAATTCAGTCATATGACTTACCAACTTAACCATTAAAACTTCCTTCATCTGAATAACCTGCCTTTACACACACACACAATACACCTGTATGCTTGCATATGTGCACACATTCCTTTTTATAAACATCCACCCATGCTTAGTTGCACTCACAGGCACATTTGCTTACTTTTGCTCTTGTGCATGTACTAAACAAACACAAGTTGGTAGGAACAATACAAATAAAAGAAGCGTGATTCTAGCTGAACTGGAAAAGTAGAAGAGATAGCAGAGGCTGTTACATGTTCTCTTAAAGCAGACTAAGACTTTTATTAGTCATGTTTGCCACCTAGGGATACTTCTGCATACTCAGCTCCAGTTGAGGTAAATACTGTATCTGAATACTTTTTTAGCTGTATACTGCTAGAAGACCGACTGCCAGTTTCTCAAGAGATTCAGGTCCTTAAACAACTAGTTGTCTTTTTGCTACATCCAAATTGTTCAATACAAAGCACTATATATAAGTCTCCACAGGGAAAACTTTAGCTCAAATGCATCTTACTGTTTACTCAGAGAAAGTTCTTACCATTGACTCCCAAGATCACACAGCTTCTGACATGCTTCCAGGTGTAAGTCAAGGTATTACTTGCAACTATAACGCTGTATTTGGTTTAACTCTGTTTTCCTGTGCACCGCTTCTTTCCTTACGCAAGCAGACTGTCTGGAATGATTTCTCTGTCAATCTGGAAGTTTGAAAACCAAGAAACTAAAGGGCATGACTTTTTATTGCATTTTCATTTTTTGTCAGTATTACCAATATGATACTGTTTATCTTCAGGCCATGTTGTGAAGCTCAGTGTCCCAAAGAAACCCATTCCTTTGAGGTGGTATATGTTACGGATTTACACAGCCGGCTGCCATAACAGGGTCCGGCCCTAGGATCCTGCTGAAAAATGTAAAGTCCGAGTGAAGGTTTCCAATTCTTCTTTTATTAGTTCTCAGGTTACAGCCCGAGCTGGGTGCCTCTGGAGAGGGACCCCTACCCCAGATCACGCCCTCCAATTATACCCGTACCACCCAGCACCCGATCCCCAAATCCAATCACTTAATTCTGGTCGGTGGTCTCTTGATTTCTTACTGGTTTTCTTTGTCGCTGGGCTGGCCTTCTTCTGAAGTTACCTCATTCTCTTGGAATTGTTTCCTTGGTCCTTCTTCATTCTGCTCACATCTGCCAGATTCAGCTAGTTCTGTGTTAGCAGCATTAGTTTTATCGAAAAGTTTATTCTCTGTCAGCTCTTGCGGCCTAAGGCTTCAACTACTTTAGCTACTAGTGCTAAGCTACTAATGCTAAACGAGACTATTCAGAGAGAAGAATACAGTTAATCAAACTTATTCTATAACAGGATATTAAAAAGATTCTAGACTGTGCTGGTTTTAGTCTTTGTACAATCAGAATTAGGTATGCAAATTGAAAAATAAAGTAATTTTGATAGGATTAGAAATTCCAACAGAACAGCAATTTACTGTGACAAGATACGAGGTACAGATAATGTGGAAGGCTGCGTAGGAAAGCAATCAGCAGGGGGAATGAGAGTTTTGAGAGCCAGAGCGATGAGAGGCTGACGAATTCTCTACAGAGTTCTCTGTTTCCATCCACCTTGGAACAGGGAGATCCCAGCTCTGTGAATAAGTTAGCAACATGGACATCTTCGTAAGAACAGCTCTTGTTTCCCACGTGGTGTGTTGCAGCATTCGAAACTAACTGAAAACTTAACTGAAATTTTTCTCTCGCTCTCCTGTAGGGAATCAGATGAGCAGTCGTCTGATGAGTATGCGCAGTGCCAATGGACTGTTGATGCTACCTCCAAAGACAGAGCAGTATGTGGAGCTTCACAAGGGGGAGGTGGTGGATGTCATGGTCATTGGAAGGCTATGATGTCACCAGCAAGAGCGAAGCTTTGATGCATGTCCACATATCATTGACTGTATCCTGTAATATGCAACGGCACAGCTAGTTTTTCTGATTTGGATAAAAGTTGATCAGTATAGTCAACATCTTGAATTATATTTCAAATGGAATTTAAATAAATACCTTTTAAAAAAAACTTTAAAACAAATCTTAACAAAGAAATTTATTCTGATTATATCAAAGCAACTTTTTCCTTTCCTTGCAATTGCTTTGTGTGTTCAATGCTAGTTCTAATAGCGGTAGCTTTTAGTAGACAGCAGTAGGTGCCTGCAGAACTTGTGTTTTTTCTCATCTTTAAGATACAACTACTTATGCTCTTAAAACAAGGCTGTCTGCTTATTTATACTAGCGTAGACAACACTTGGATTTCCCTTATTAGTATGCTTCATAACCGCTTCACAGAGAGCTTCTGCTTGTTCTTTATCTTGTATCTCGTGTTGATGTGCACAGTGCCAAAAGCAGAGTGGCTGCACTGGGAACCCAATGAAGCCCCGAGGTTTTCTCACCTCGCTGCGCATTCAGGGATCTCTCTTGTCCCGGCAGCCACCCAGCTCAGTACTCTTGGGCAGTAACTGGATACCTTTTATTTCAACAAACAAAAAAATCGCTTCCTTAAGTGCTGACAGCCTTTTTAACCAATACATTTAAAAATGTACAGAACTAAAAACTAAAAAAAATCAAAGACTGATCTTGTACAGATATTAGTGTTACCAGCATTCGTGTGGAAATTAAATGAGCAAAGAAATAAAACTAATGTTAAACAACTCTGTACCATAACATTTTCTGTAATGATATTGAAACTTAAATGAATAAAAAAAATCCTCAATCATTATTTAAAATTTCACCTGTTTAGCCTTGTTGTTTGAACCAAAAAAACAGTGGTTTAAGAGGGTATTTGGGGTGGGGGAAGAGGACAGGAAGGAAGGGAAAATAGTATATGGAATCTACTTCCCTCATGTACAGTATCACGAGTGAACTGAAAATACAGAGTGAGCTCTCTCACTCATCTCCCAAGGGACAAAATGGAAGCAGCATTTGGGGGGTTTTACAATTGGACTGGTCAAAGCTGGCGAATACTTTTTGTTCCCGTCTAAACTGCGTAGCAGTTGCAAACAGCCCTTGTGCTGCACTGTGTGGAATTTGATAGAGCATTCTTTTTTTTTTTCCATGAGATTCTCTTTTTGATACTGGGACTATTTGGCCCTCGCCAGATTATGTATTTTGGTAATTTCACATTTCATCTGGGATTAAGACCATAGCAGTGCCCTGCAACACCTTGCTTCTTGGAATTCATGGGTAAAATGCTATCCCATCAACTCCATTCATGAAGCCAGAACATTTGTCTATAGTATTTTTTGAAGACTTAGTCAGGGAGGACACAGAAAACTGGGTTTAAGTCCTGACTGCCAGGGTGGACCGGAGCTGTAGTTCTATGATAACCGCAGAGGGCATCCCTGAGGCTGGTTTTAAAACCAAACTCTTTGTTTGCTGTGCAGCAGCCTGAATACTCCTTGCACAGGCCATTGCCAAGGTTGAAGGCAGGTGGGCATACACCGTGTTCAAAGGCACCCCAGGGGCTGATCTTTCAGAAGAATAGTAACACAACTTGCTGATCATATTTCTTTGTTCTGGGCTACATGTCCACATTTGAGATCTCTCTGTGTAGCAGCAGGATGGTACCAAATTAAATTCATGAATGCCTGTATTTACTGTACCAATCCTGTAAACCACAGAAGAAGGAGGAGAGAGGAGAGCTAACTCCTCTCTGAGAAATAATGTAAGAACACTGCCTTTTATAATCCAAAGGATTATTATGTAGTTAGGAGTTATTACAGGCAGCGCATATAATGAAAATTGGAAATTTATAAAGGACACGAGTAACAACAACCTCAGGGAAGATTGTTCATGCAATTGGAGATGCTAGACAAAGATAAAAGAGAGATGTGAGGAAACCTAGCCAGACATATCTTGGGTCTGGTTTACACTAAAACCATTACTCAAAACAAATGTGGCAGAGAAGAGTTGGCACAATGCTGTGTATAATGCACAGCTCTGTTGAAACCGTATCTCGGCATCGTAACACTTAACTACCATTGTAACGAATAAAGCATTTAGAGGTTAATCAAGATAACTTTTTTCCAAATCACTGATAATATAAACTGCTTTAGCCACTCTACTGTCTTTTGTAATCCCCTCTGCCCAGCGTTCAAAGTTTTATGGAAGAAAATAAGCTTTGCAGTTTCTGAGAGAGATGCTCACAGCCCAGCCTTCGTTAACGCTGAAAGCCATAGCAGTATGTTGGAGAGGTAACTCTGGGAGCTGTATAATAAATCATCATTACAACTATGTCTCAATTATCAAGCCTAAAATCTAAAGAATTTGCCTTGGTTGTTGTAATATAAATGGATATAAATAGATACATTTAAATCACTTTTTTATTTTTAACATTCCCAACTCACGGTTTCAGGGAAGGTTGGAGGCTTCAGAAAAGAAATCAAGGACAAACGGATCTTCATGTATGTGGTTACTTTGGTTCAAGGACTGAGACTTGCAAATGGAAACATTTTAAGGAATATTTTCACTGTTTTTACCTCTCTAGACAAGGTTTTAGCACAATCAAAATGGTAACTTACTTAACAACAAGAAGCAATGCCAGCAATGACTGAAGATAAGGTTGGTATTCCAACATTTGTAGTTTTCTTCTTTTTACAGCATTTTCTTCAGCGCCTATACATGGGAATGATCATACGCAGTGGGCCTTCCGAGTCCCACTCATCCAGCTGGGATAATCCTACAGTGACCTACAAATCCTACAGCAACTTTTGTATCCTGGCTAGCTGGTACCAAAACCTTGATTGCACACCTGGACGTGAAACATCATTCAAAAATTGGCTGTATTCATTCAGATAAATAGAAGAATAGACCAGCCTGTTCCAAATACTAATTTCAAGACTTTAATTACAATGTTAATTCTATCTTGATATTAAAATATGCTAAACGTGAAATGTCTTTGATCTGTAGGTAGTTATTACAGATCTGTATGACTCCAGAGATTACTAATTAATGTGGAATCTTTAGCCTTTTTGATTCTTGAGCTGAAGGGCTGCACTTAAAACATATTACAACATGGATACTGCTTAAGGACAATATGCAACTGGAATCACCCTGCAGGTTCTGTCTTTGTCCTTCCCAGCTTGCCGCTCTGCACCAAGTGCTAAAGGTTGTCTTCTTTGACATGTCTCAGTCCAGAAGCCATGCTGCTTGCCTCAGGCCCGGTAAAGATGGTCTTCAGGCCACGGGCAGTCGGCACGTACCCTGCACTGACCACAGAAGTGCCCAGCATAGTGACTGGATCCACCTTTTCCTTCCGGTTGCCTTGGTTCCAAGTCTGTCAGTGTTGGGATGGCACGTGCCAGCCTCGTTGCCTTCCTATGGCAGCAGAGTTCAGGGCCTGCCTCAAGTCACGCTCAGGAAAGCTCTTCAGGCTGACAGCTCTGCCAGCACTTGCAGGGCGGGAACTATGTCTGAGAGCTGAGACTTCAAGTGGGACATCTTATTTTGGAAAGCAGATGCCAGGCTAAGATGGCCCACCACTTCCTATGGCCCTCCATTATGTTCTAATACTCAGCTTCTGAAAAATAGCGCCATCACCTGAACTGTTTGTGAGGTTTTGTGTTAGACAAGAAAAATATACATTAAATCAAAATATAAGAAACATATCACAGCTTTGTTTTCTTACATGATAACAGCACTGAGGTGTTTCCAGGTACCCGTATTTGCAGTTGACAAAGAGAAGACAAGCAAAGTAAGGGCCGTAAGTATTGGTTAATGCTGAAGACACATCTCTCAGGAAGTGCATAAAGATTCATCAGCAGTCAAGTTCAATGGTTGTTTTAAAGGCAGAGTCTCGTTCTTGCATACATTTATTTGGTATATTTGGATATACAGCTTTGTACTTCGCCTGAGGAACTAGGTGGGAGAGTGTGAGAGCATCAAATGAGGAGTCGGAGCCCAATTCAGGCTACGTTATCAAGCAGTAGATCGGGCTGACATGTAATGATCCATATACTCTTCCTCTTACCTGACAGGAAACTAAGAATAAGAAGGAAAAGGGTAGATGTTGAAATGCTCAAGCATAAAATTTGCCAAAAAATTTATTTTTCCTTAGCTGGAAAATTGAAACTAGTTTTTAATATCAGAAAAAAAGCATCAAAATTGTCTGTCATTTATGATGACACTTTCCAAACATTTCTAATACACTTTTATCCCAAATAAATTCAGGAATATATTCTCAACCTAATATTTCTTTTGTGAGGTTATTTTACACGTTTCCCAAAATACCAGGTAAGAAACACTTTGCTTAAATGCTTTATATCTACGGTAGTCTCCTTCCTGAAGCTAGTTAAAGTCAGCTGGCGTTACTCCCATGAAAAAGCTGAATTTTAGCACTACAGGCTAGATGGGGAAGGGCATTTATGCCTGTAGTCAAAGAAAGCAGAGACATTTCTAGGAGAGGGGGCCAACAAGGCGGTCAAAGTCACAATTATTGATGAAGAAAAAGGATTTGCAGTGGGGAGAACAATTGCAGCAGCTGATGATCGCTGAAGCAGCAACCTGTTGAATAGAGACAAGGTATAGTTTCCCATAGCAGTATTTGGCCAGTATGTTGCAATTAAGTGCCTTCACCTCATGATGAAGAACATGATCTCTAATTGTTTTGGCAACGAAATGGTTTGGCAACCCCTTCGCCTTCCTAAAGCCAGCCAGCCTCAAAAGACACAACGCAGCATTTGCACCCCGTCAGCATGATACTGTCAGCAGCTGAACTTCTCTATTTACTCGGAGTGAAAAAATCCACATTGTTGTTTCTTCTATGTTTACTTTTATGGGATGTGGTTTGTTTTTTTTTTAAGACTTGACTTTTGTTTTCTAGTAAGTATATCCCAGCCTCCACCCGGAAAGGTGAGTCCCCATGCTGGATTTAAACTCAGCATTGAAATGCAGACACTTCTTGGCTAACTCATGGGGAGGAAAAGCCTGTGGGTTTTGCAAATGTTACAGCCTCATGATGTGCTGCTAGTTGCATGTTTTCTGAAAGGGCTTAGTGACTCATATCCAGCATTAGATTAAGACTTGCTCTGTGCATTCGTGCCATATTGCACACAAGCTGACAAAGCTCTTGGAATAGAAAGCCTTCGAAAGGGAGATGCACAGATGCTCGGTAGCTCTCTAGTTGTCAGAGTGGTCTGGCTGGCATTACTTGCTCCATCGCAGCACTGTACAGTGACATCCAGCATGCTCTGTCCCTATGCAAGAACTTCTGCGTTCGCATGGACCCAATTTGGGTTTAAAAATATAGGCAGCCAACTTAATTTTTGCAGAGTTAATTCACAAGCAAAACCAAAACCTGACTGTACGTCAGTAACTCCACAGATAATCTGAACATACCAGAGGAAGTAAATGCACTGGCATGATCTTGATAATCAGGGATTCAAAAGTAGAAGTAAAGTAACTTCAAAAAAAGTATACGAGAAGATGGAAGGTAAGTATATATCCATGCAAAAACTACCTTAGAAACAACAGCAGGGTAAGATCTCAAAACCCTGATTTACTCCTTTTGTAGGTGCGGAACTGCCAGATTGAGAGCCATATCCAGATGCATTTGCTTCCATTAAAAAGAAAAGAAGTCATAGTGCAATACTAACATGTTACCAGCCACTGGCACACACAAAACTGTCCCACCGGACTGACAAGAAAGCATGCAAAGCGGCTTTTGTCCGTACCTGACATTCTCCTCATGTGGATTTTACTGTGGCCCACGATGGTGTGAAAGGATGCCATTAC